TTTTATTTGCTAATATTTTCTTAAATAATTTTGCATTTATATTCATGGGAAATGTTGGTCTGTAGTTTTCTTATTTTGTATTATTTTAATCTGATTTTGGTACCAGAGTAATATTAGTTTCTTAAAATAGTAAGAAGAGTTTTCTTCTATTTTTTGGATAAGATTTTGTAAAATTAGTGTTATTTTTTAAATGTTTGGTAGGCTTCTTCAGTGAAGTTATCTTGGCCTGAAAATTTCTTTCTCGGGACTTCTTAATTACAGTTTCAAGTTCCTTATTGGTTAAAGGACTATTGAAATTATCTACTAAATATTAGATGAGTAGGGTCAATTTATGTTTTCTGAGAAAGGTGTTTACTTTGTCTAAGCTGTCAAATTTATGTTTGTAGAATTGTTTATAGGATTCACTTATCCTTTTGATATCTATAGAGTCTGTAGTGATAACCCTTTTTATTCTTGATTTGGTAATTGGTGTCATCTCTTTTTTTCTTGTTTTCAATTTCAATAATTCTTGTTTTTTATTATCTTCTTCTACTGGCTTCAGGTTTATTTTAGCTTTCCCCCTGCCCTTGGCTTTCAAGATGGAATCTTAGAATATTAATTTGAAACTTTTAGTCTTTTCTTTTGTAAACATTTAATGATATAAATTTCCCTCTCAGAACTGCCATGTTGCACAGATTTGATATGCTATATTCCAATTTAATTTGGTTTGATGTATTTTCTCATTTTTCTTGAGATTTTTTCCTTGTACAATGTATCATTTAAGTGTGATCTTTTGTAAAGTGTGTCCAGGTATTTGGAGATTTTCCTACTTTCTTCCTGTTATTGATTTATCATTTGAATCCATTATGGACACAGACATACTCTGTGTAATTTCAGTTCTTTAAGTTCATTGAGGTTTACTTTATGGCCCAGAATATATTCTATCATGGTCAATGTTCTGCAGGCACTTGAGGGAAAAAATATATATTTTACTCTTGTTGGGTGGAGTGTTTTTTTAAGTTTGTTTAGATTCTGTTGATTGATGGTGTTGTTGAGTTCTTCTATATCCTTGACTTTATGTCTAGTTTCTATCAATTGTTGAGAGAGAGATGTCCAAGCCTCCAACTACCATTGTCTATTTGTCTCTTTCTCCTTTCAAGTCCACTAGTTTTGCTTCATGTGTTTTTTAGCTCTGTTGTTTGGTACATACACACATGGGATTGCTTGTTGGTGGGTTGAAACTTTTTTATTTATATAATGTCCCTCTCTTTTACTGGTAATTTTCTTTGTTCTGAAGCCTATTTTATCTAATAATAATATAACCACTATAGCTTTCCTTTCATAGTGTTTATGTGACATACTCATTTCTATTCTTTTACTTTCATTATGCTTATAATATTATATTTTAGGTGAAAGTCTTATAATCATTATACAGATGGGTTATATTTTTTTGATCTACTCTGCTAGTTTCTTTTAATTCGTGTCCTTTTTAAAATTTAATGTAATTATTTGTATGTTAAGGCTAATTGTCGTTTTATTATTTGTTTTCTGTCCTCTCCGTTTTTCATTTTTGTTTTATTTTTCCTGCTTTCCTGGGAGTTACTTGAACATTTTTTAGAATTACCTATCATGGTTTGATTTATTTATAGTGTTACTTGAACACTTGCAGAATTCCATTTTTATTTCTCTACAGTGTCTTTTGATATATCTATAGTGTTTTTAAATATTTCTGTGGTGTTTTGTATAGCATTTTTAGTGGTTACTCTAGGTATTATATGTACACAATTTATTGTAGTCTGCTGGTATTGTCACTTTACCAGTTCAAGGAAAATATAGAAACCTTTCCACTCTTTCTGTCCCCATACCCTCTCCCATTTACAATACAGTTGTTCTAAGTGTGTCTTCTGCAATGCACTTAGAACTATATCAGTGTTATCAAACATAATATAGACACTCAAGAGAAGAAAAGCCTATTTTTGTTTACCCATATTTTTGCTGATTGTGTTCTTCTTGAGATCCCAGCATTCCTTCTTTTATCATGTCCTTTACATTTAGAGAACTTTATTTAGTCATTTTTTTAGGGTATGTCTGCTGGTGACAAATTCTTTCCTTATCTGAGAATGTCTTTTATTTTTTTAAGAACTTTATTGGGTATAATTTTATTATTATTTTTCTTTTTTTATTATTCAAATACATTTGTCTCCATTTTCCCCACTACCACTTTAGCTGAGAATGTCTTGATTTCTCCTTCATTCCTGAAGAATATTTTCACTGGACAGAGGATTCTAAATCGACAGTTCTTTTTTTTTTCCAGCACTTAAAAAGGGTTGTCTTGCTTCCTTTTGTTGTCCATGCTTTCTAATAATTAGGAATTTGCTTTCATCCTAATTGTTTTATAAGTAATTATCACTTTTTTGCTGGCTGCTTTTTAGACTTCCCCTTTGTCATCAGTTTTCAAAAGTTTAGTTATAATGTATCTTGATTGGATTTCTTTGGGTTTGTCCTATATGGGGTTTGCTCAGCCTCTTGAATTTGTAGGTTTATGTTGCCTGCCACAAATTTGGGGATATTTAGCTCTTATTTCTTCAAGTACTTTCTTAGCCCCACCTTCTTTATCCTGTCATTCCTAGACTCCAGAGACCTCTTGCTATTGTTCCACAGGTCCCGGGGTTCTGTTCTTTTCTTTTTTTAAAAGGCTGTTTCCTCTCCATTGTTCAGATTAGGTGATTTCTATTGTTTTCCCTAATAAATAGTTCAGTGATTATTTCTTCAGTGCATTCTATTCTTCCATTGAGCCCATCAACTGAGCTTGTTAAACCAATTTGGAAAAAGAAACAACTTGGTTTATTTTATTTTTAATCTACTATTTCTGTTTGATTCTTCTTTGGGTTTTCTCTTTTCTTTGGAGCATTCTATTTTCTCACATGTATCAAGCATATTCAGAATTGTTTACTGAAGCCTTTTTGAATTATGCTGCTTTAAAAAACTTTTTTAGAAAATTCTCATATTATTATGGTGTTTTCATCTATTGATTGCTTTATTTTTTCATTTAATTCAAGATCTTTCTGGTTCCTGATTTGATAAGTTTTTTCAGTTGAAACTTGGACATTTTTATATTATATTATGAAACTCTGGCTTTTCTTTAAACCTTCTGATTTTCTCTATAACCACTGCAGAAGGGAAAGTGGGGAAACTACCTCGTTACTGCCACGTGGAGACAGAACGCCTGTTTTCCCACTTAATCTCCACCAATACCCAAGGTGGGCATGGCTTGGGTAGGAATTTCAGTTTCCCACATGGAACCCCATGGTGAGGGTGGTCTTGTTACTGGTGGGTGATGGCAAAAGCCTTGACTTTGTGTAGCTCTCTGACCGCACTTGGAGTGTAGACAGGAGGGGTGCCTCCTGACGATGGAAGTCCAGCCACGTCTTGCACTCTCCGCTGACACTGTTAGTGGAGGTCTCATTACTGGGCAGTGAGGGTGAAAGTCCTGGCTCCCTACCTAGGTTTCTTACTCAGGGGGAGTGAGGCTCCTTATCACAGCCTCACAAGTCACTAGGTTGTTCCTTTTGTGGCCCTTCGGCTAGAAAGGGCAGACTTTTTTTTAGGGTCTTTAGAGTCTGGCAACCTGCACCTGTTGACACTGCCCAGTTGCCAGACTCTTCAGCTCCAAGTCTGGGGTATGTGAGGTAAAAAGAAATTCCAAGGAACTCACTACTGTGTTGTTCTCTGAAACTAAAAATCCATAGCTGGTGTCTCTTCCTAACTTTCAGAGTTTTCTTAGGTTTGTTTTTGTAATGTCTGGGGTTCTTGCACTTCACGGAGGAATAGGAAAAGTAAATATAGTCCATCTTCCCAAAAGCAGAACTACAACTGACTTTTGACAAGGGTGAGAAGGCAGTTTAAGGGTAGTCTTTTCAACAAATGGACTTAGAATAATTGAATATTCAGAAAAGTGTAAAGTGAAAGAAATAAGTTGCAAAATATTATACATGCCACAATTCAGTTTTCAAAAGAGAAAAAAGTTAGGACTTTATTTAACAAAACCTGTATAAGTGATTGTTTGTGTGTATTTGGATATACAGAGAGAAAGCCTAGAAGAATGCACACCAAATTGTGTATTTAAAAAGCAAGTTAGAGAACAGAATGTATCCTCTCCTTCCAGGACACCGCTCGCATATTGTCTGTTGTTAATTGTCCCATGACCCTAGTTTCCCATGACCTCAATTTTGTTTGAAAAAGAAAATTAAAAAACTGTACTTGATTATATTGTTTTGTTTTTTAAGGCCTGGAATGGTACCCACCAAAAATTGATTTGCTATAAGAATTAACATTAAAGTACTAGAAGTTTTTACTCAATGCACTTACTAGTACTTGAAATTTTTATAAAAAGCATATATTAAAAATAATCAATGGACCTTGAAGACATTATGCTAAGTGAAATAAGTCAGAAAAATATGAATACCATATGATGTCACTAATATGTGTGATCTAAGGGGAAAAGATCAAAAAGCGAAGCTCATGGATACTGAGAACAGACTGATGGTCGCTGGAGGCAGGGTTCGGGGTGGGGGTGAAATAAGTAAAGGAGATCAAAAGGTACAAACTTTCAGTTATAAAATAAGTAAGTCATGGGGATGTAATATACAGCATGGTGGTTACAGTTAATATTACTGTATTGTATATTTGAAAGCTGATAAAGTAATAGATCTTAAATGTTTTCATCAAAAGAAAAATGATACTTTTGTAACAATGTATGGTGACAGATGTGAACTAGATTTATTGTAGTGATCACTTCACAATATATTAAAATGTTGAATCAATATGTTGTACACCCGAAACAAATATCATGTTATGTGTTAGTTATACTTCAATTTAAAAAAATTGAGACCGGGAAAATTGTTACAAGGAATGTGCAATATCTTAACCAATGAAAATCATCAACCAAAATCAAAAAATGTATACATATTATATTAGTACATAGACCTATGGTGACCTGATTCTTTCCCCTCAACATGCAGGAATAAATGAAGAAGAGGAGAAGAAAAAAGCTAAAAGCAAAGAGAAAATCAAGTTGAAAAAAAAGAGAAAAAGGTATATTGTTAACATCATTTTTAAAAAAATAAGGACTGTGAATCCAGGATGGATTATATTTTTTTCCTGCTGTAGTACAGTTTAACATTTTTTTTTTCAATAGGAGTTAGATGCTCAATTGTTTCAGTAAAATAACAGAAGTTCCTCTTTTCAGAAATCAAAAATACAGTCAACATTTAGCCACCTTAAATTTTCTTTCTGGAGCAAATCAAGAAATAAAGAAGTAACACCCCTCCCTTTCTTTTATATATTTTACAATTTTAAGTTTAGAACATCAGATAATCTTTTAATGGAGTATATGTCTAAATTTTTCACATGCATATTTGTCCTCATCTGTATGAAGTTGGAGCTTAAATATCTGTATTTTCAAAATATCATTGCCTTGTCTAAAAACTTAATTTGTTTAATAGGATTTATGTACTCACATGCCATGCTAAAAATTCCTTCAGGTCTTTGAAAACCTTCATCAGCTACCTGTAAATTTTTATATCAACTCTTTTAACAATTTACTGATTAAAGATAAAAAGAATTAATCAGCAACTTTTTTCATGGCTAATAAATGCAATTTCATTCATACTAGAACAAACACATACATACAGACATTATTTATGGCACTTGGCAATACCAGTTTGGCTTTGACAGTAGATTCTGCAAATCTGGTATTGTCACTTTGTAGTTTTTATAAAAAGAGCATTTAATGTATACATTTTAACACCTCAGCTATTTTATAAATTGGAATAGTTAGCTTACTTTTAGGTGCTAGGAGTCAAATAATCATCTTTAATATAAAAATTAATAGGCAGGTAAAACTCAGTGTATTGTGTAGTCTGGCTATTATATTGTTGAATTACTGGCATTACCACAGCAAGGTGGATTGATATAGTAAAAGTTAGATTATCTCTTTTCTTTCAAGTCTAATACACTTATTTTACATTAACAGATACTTTATTCAAGCCTTTCTATCTTTGGCCTACAAACCTCAGAGAGAGCCTGAAGTTACATGAACTTTTCTAGGCACACTTAACAGAGATAATACCACTTAATAAAGTTACTATACCAAAGCCTAATATTTTGCCTTAAAAATGAGAATCCAGTACCAAAAATCCAAAGGAAAAAAAAAATGTGTTGGTAGGAAAGAAGCTCTAGTCAGAATCCAAAGGTCAAACAGGGTCTTTAAAACAGGAAAACAAAGAAGAGTTGAGAATAATAGAGTTGAAATGGAACAAGAGAATATATGAAAAATAAGCCCCTGAAATGGCCAAAAGTCTCAAGTAAGTAGACAAGGAGGAGAAAGGAATGCGACCTCACAGAGATGGGAAAACTCGAGGTCCCTAAGCAAGGAACGCAGCAGTCAAGGGGTTCACACAGACACTCAGGAGACACAACTCTGCAGTCTCGCGCATTTACTTTTTTTCCTCTTTGTGCCTCTGTCAGGTTTTTTAGTTTGGGTTTTGACTTCTAATCTGTAGACCACTGAACTAGCTCTTGAGATGCCTATTTGATTTTAAATTAACTCAATTTCTGTCTTGTCATACATATTTGGGGTTTGGGTATGGGCAGATTGTTACACACTTAATATAAAGTCTTAAGAGATGGCTTTTCTGGTGTTCGTTTTTCTTTTTTTTTTTTTAATATTAGAGGAAGGACATACAATTTTTCTTTCTCAATTTATTATTACAGTAATATTAGAAAAGTAAAGTTTAATGATAAATCACCCTCACTCATTTATATAGAGTATTCATTTAAAAGTATCTTTTCTGCAACTAGCAAAAATTATTTTGGAATGAACGTGTTCATCTGTATCACTCTGCTTCTGGAGGAATCAAGTACTTTGACTTGAAAAATCAAAAGAATTAACAAAAGTGCTTTTATTTTGCTAATTTTCAGCTTTTATTCATTTATACAGAGATATATAATTATAGCCCTTTTTATATAATTGCATCCTTTTGTGACTCTTCAACTGATACGCTACAGAATTTTTAAAACGTGATACATGGCTGTTTAGTCAGGGGCACCGACCTCTTTTCCTTTAAGTTGTTGAATAAAAAAAATGACAACAACCAGTACAACAATAGCTGTCCAATGTGAATGAACTAAAATTATACCTGTTTTTTGTCAGTGCAGCAAAAATATATATTTTGGTGTGTCACACAATTTTAGTACTTAGTTTACGTGTGCCATGAGATGAAAAAGGTTGGAATCGCTGGAATATGCTAACAAGTTATTGCATGCACAAGTGAATTGTGTTTATAATGAGGCTTGGTAAATGCAACTTCATTTGCTTAATAAGGTTTTAAAGGGTACAATAGGATGAAAGGCTGAAAATCAGAAAAGTAATTTTCATTCCTACCGAATTTAAAAATTACATAACTATAGAAAATATAACTATATAACTTGTATAACTAGAGTTGAGCAGAATAGAGATACTTGTTTTGTCAGTTTTATGTGACCAAGTAGCAAAAATTATAAATTCAGCATTTTAAGAGAATACAAGTGTACAAAGCACATTTTGAGTTTCATTGTTTATACCCCCACCTTGCTCCAAAAAGGATTTAAGACAGATCAAATCCATTTAAATTTACCCACCAGCTGTAAATGCAATTATCAGTCAGTATGTATTATTGCCCATAGGTCTTATTCATCCAGCTCCGCTGAAGAGGACTCTTCAAAACAAAAGAAACAAAAATATCAGAAGAAAGAAAAGAAAAAAGAAAAAAAGAATAAGTCAAAAAAGGGGAAACATCACAAAAAGGAAAAAAAGAAGAGAAAAAAGGAAAGGCATTCTTCCACCCCTACTGCTTCTGAAATCTCCAGAAAGTAACTGAGGCTCTGGCTTAAGCCATTACATTGGAACTTTGGTTTTGAAAATCATTTCTCCTTTCTTGGAATTTGCTATATAATTTTGCTTTGCAATAAATCACAGGCTTGTCCATATAGACATTTTTTGTTTTCATATATAGGACCATTATCCTCTGGCAATGTATTTTTAACGTAGTATGTATAAAGTATTGAATTAGTCTTACTACTGGATAGCCATGCTCCAAGTATGGTTATTTATACATAGAAAACACATCACTTTTTGTATTTGTATCTCTGTATGTTTGACTAGTGTTTTTTACTTCATAAGTTGATTGTAAATGGCTTCACTACAGTCAACACAGGTATTCTACCTGGCCGTAAATGAGTATTGCTGAATCAAGTGTCTACCTTCCAGTGATACAGCGAAGTAGGCGATAATGCTTTGCTCTTGACACTGATAAACCTAATAGATTTTTATGTCCTACAGCAATGTATAAAGATAGTAATATTCTTCACTGTTGTTTTTTAATCTCTGGCTTTTTTGGTTTTTTTGAATGTCTTAGAAGATGAAGCTGATTTATTGATCTTGACTAGGACTTTTTCAATGAATGGTATTAACAGGAAGAGGATAATGAAAATAACAAAGTTTCATTGTTTTATGACATGCAGCTAGTACCCGTATCCTTTGTTTTTGTAGCTATTCAACTATTTCTTCCTGTTTAAAAAGGCAAGTCTAGTTCAGCCTATTAGTAAGCCTCATAGAGATAATGTTGTGTTGGGCAGGATTTTAGGATAGACTCCTGGGTTGTTTTACAAATGTGCCATATTGGCATGTCTCAAAGTGATACCTCAAACACAGAACTTTTTATTTAGAAAGATGACAGCTAAATCTTCATTGGAGCTGACTTTTGTTGTACTCAGTATATAAATTTTATGAAGCTTGTTTCTATGAGTAATGTGGAAAATTTTTATAAATGTGAACGTATTTATTTGTCTGAAATAATTTGTAGTCTTACAGCAGGTTTCACACTGAATTTATGGTTTCCTAAATGACCAGTTTGGAGTGTTTTATCTCTTATTTCAGTCATAAACCTCAGGAGCAGTGACAAAAATTTAGGATTAAGAATTTTATTCTGTACTTTTTAAAACTTAAGAGCCAGGGAATTGCATCATGAAAGTCTTTATAAACAGTGGAAATTTTATATGGGTAAGACTTTTCAAACACATTAGTAGATGTAAATGTGTCTTACATTTTAAAATTCACAATGATCAGTGTTAGCTACTCTGCTTAACATTCGGGTATCCCTTATGCCCAATAACTTAAATGCTTTTTATTGTAGCAGCATCAGAAGTCAATCCATTATCAATGCACAGCACCAAAGATTGCAGGTACCTCACTGGGGTGCAGTCATAAATTTTCACATTGATAACCTACAGACATGGCTTCAGATGAATTCATTGAGGTGAAATCAGGTAAGTACACACAACCGCACAGGCTGGAAAGGGGTGCTCATTCTTTCTTCACCCCGCCCCTCCCTGGTACAACCTCGGTAAGGCCTTGAGGAGCCTCCTGACTCCACCTAACATATGCTTACCATGCTCCGATTCCAGGGATGCCGTATCCGCATCCCTGTCCTATGGCATCATAGCCATGGCAGCTCTCACACTTAGAGCTTTCCATAGCCTGATTTAGTCATATGGCCACAACAAGAAATTACCTTGTTTAAATTAAGAATAGTCAATTATTTGGAGAGAAACACAGAGCTGTTAGGCTTTTAAGGGCTTATTCTGCCATTGCTTTATTTTATGTATTTTTAAAATCTGTATTTTCTGAAAATATAGCTCTTTGGCTATCAAAATGAAAAAATTAGTAAAATAAACATTTTTAAAAGATTGGAAAATGTTCTGTATAAAAGGATGGCCTCATCCCATTGAGTGTGTAGCATGGTTAAATATGACATTTTATGAACAGATTAATTTAGTTATTTGTACGTTTTGTTTGTGTGAATTGTACAGGTTATAATTTGGCTCATTAAATTTTTTCTGAATGGTGAAATGCTTAATAATGGTGCAGAAAAGTTACATAAAATTCAGCCCTAATTAATTATATAGTATTCAAATTAAAAGATTTAATAGTTATTTTCCCCCAGAAACAATCTTGGAATTATTCTTAAGTAAATTTTTTATCATGTGAGAGTAGTTTATGAAATATCTCATCTAATGAAATAAATTTATTTTTACTAATTTTCTTCTAAAGTGATATTATTTGGCTTGGATGTGAATCTCACTAGTATATTTTAGGAAAAAATCAGTAAAATTTCCTCTTTATCAGTATGTAGCAGAAGGAAAAGTCAATTTAATAGTAAAAATCCAAAAAGTCCTGGCTGTCCTAACTACCTATGTGACCTTCAAAGTCATTTAGTTTCTCTGGGCCTTGGTGTTTTTCATCTATAAAATATTGTACCAAATATTGCAAGTGCTCTCTAAGATCACTTCCTGTTCTTCATATATATGAGTATGATATTTTAGAAAAATTCAAGAGATACTATTCATTTTAGAAATTATTACAGATAAGCAGTAACAATCTGTAATAGTAAAGGTTGAATTTATTAATACTACTGTTAAACACATTTAACTTCTGTAAGCAGATAGTTGATATTTGGTTTACATCCTTATTGTCCAACATATGTCATTTTTACTAGATGCAGACAGAATTTTTGTTTAGAACTGTGTCTGTAACTACATTATTTGAACACTTTGAGGCAATTGCTTTTGGGGTGGCAGACCTACTCCCCACACATTTCCCTGTTTTCTCCATATCAGCTGTTAGCTAAAATCTCTTAGATGGATCTGCAGTGCTTCACACTTAATACATACCTGTTTGTGTTCTCTGAGGCCAAACCATCAGTAAGTATGCAATAAAACAACTGTATGTGTCTATTTACTGCTCTCAAATTGTAGAACCATATGTCACTTTCAATTAAACTATGTTGAAGAGTTATTAATAGTGTTTATAAAAATACCATTGTGTCCTTTCTTCAACAAACATTTATTGAGTGCCTACTATGGCAAACACCCTGCTAAGTACTGGGGATACAGAGATTAAAAAGACTCATTTTTTCCCCTGAAGATGTTCATCATTTAGTTGCTAGGAGAAACAGCAGGACAGCATCACATCAGTTCAATAACTGACCCGAACATGAGTTTGTAGAAACACATGGGGGTACTTAACCTAGACCGGCGAGGTTAGAAGAGGCTCCCTAAAGAAAGTAGTACCTGAAGTGAATTTTTTTTTAAAGATTTTATTTGTTTATTTATTTTAGAGAGAGGAGCAGGGAGGGAAAAAGAGAGGGTGAGAAACATCAACATGAGAGAGAAACATCAGTTGGTTGTCTCTCAGACATGCCCCAACCTGGGACCGAACCCGCAACCCAGGCATGTGCCCTTTCGCTCTGCAGAATGACACCCAACCAGCTGAGCCATACCAGTCAGGGCTGAAGTGTATTTTGGTTGGCAGCTGTGGCAGTTTCTGACAGTGAGTATGCTGTGAACGAAGACTGCAATAGAGGCTGGAGGGTATGTGTGTCAAGAATTAACAAGCAATAAGATTTGGGGGAGCTGAGGGGGTGGAGGGACTGAGGAAAAAGGACTCATGGACATGGACCACAGTGTGGTGATTTCTGGGGGGAGGGGAGTATAAAGGGACCAAATGGTAATGGAAAGAAAATACAATAAGGATTAAATTAAAAAATAAAATGAATGAAAAGATTTGAGACTCCCATTTTAGGTTCGCAGGAACAAAAGGAAGACGTCCTAGGTTCTGTGTTAGGGAGTTTGTGTAAACAGTGAGGCACCATGAGAGAGTTTTAAGGAAAGAAATGTCTTAATTGGGGCTTGGTTTCATTCATTTCATAATTCCACAAGTTTTAGAAAGTGAAATTGCTCTCATTGGAAGGCCACATAGAAAATAATTTGAATCTTTTTGTCCTATTATTTGTACTCTTCCTGTAGCCCCACTTTTCTAAGATCTGATTATTACTAAAAATTATAGTGACTTGTTTCCTAAAAACAGATAAACCTATTGTATTCTTTATCAGCCCCATCCCCAGAATTACATGCATATGTGCATACTTTGAAATGTGCTTTATTTTAAATTTTATTTTAGATTATTTTTAACTGACAAATTGTGTTACTCTGTTAGTACTTGTGTCCAAATAAATTGTTTAAAATACATCTTTCAGTGTATAGACTATGCTGTAACTTGATAAGGCTTCTTCCTTTTAATATTTTGTCTCAATCTCTGAAACACAACTACTTCAAAGTGACAGAGACACATACTTGTCGGTCCACTAGGTGAGCCCTGTGGCTCTTGGGTAACCTCACTTGACAGGGAGTGCTTCAAGAACTCCACCTGATACTAGTGCTGGGATTCAATCTTCTTAAGCAGCTGGCCTTTGCGAATAGAAGGTTTTTTATGCCAACACGATACTAATCTCACTTGTAAAGCCCAGGGTCTCCTGAACTCATTTGTCTTCTCCCAGCTCCTCTAAAACTATGCAGTGCCAGAGAATTGGGATGCGCCTCCCAGAGCACCCCCATGATGCATCCGGCCGTGCCCGGTCCCAGGCCCACCCCACAGGTTAGGAGTCGAGACTGTGAGCATTTCGCTGGACTGAAGTCTAAGTTTCCTAAATCTTGTGTCATTTATGATCTGTGCCCTTCCCTCTGTGCAGCAAAAGTAGACTGGTGCCAGTGCCTTAACAAAACCTAGATTTTCACCTGAGACAACGTCTAATGAATAATGCAATGATTATATCTAGGCATTAAAGATAGCTGTTTTTCTGGGATTTTTTTAGTCAAGCTGGATAAAAAAACAAGTATTACAAATGTCATATGTGCTTTGCAAAACAAAAAAGAAGAAATGAAAACTTTTTGTGAATTAAAAATGACCACTTAAAAATGTCATTTTTTAATGGTAATGTTTTAATTTCCAAACTTCCCATGCTGTAAAGCAATTTTAATATTGAAACATTGACAAAATTGTGCTCTTTTTAACATGAATTGTAACAGGCAGTAGAATGTTACAACACTGATAGTGATCTGGAACTATGATGTCAGTGTAGTCCCATGTGGCTTTTTAAAATAAATTTACTAAAAATATTAAAATGTATTCAGTTGCTTTGGCCACATTTCAAGTGCCCAGTAGCTGTATTGTGGGTAGCGGCTACCCTGCCAGACAGTGTACATATAGAAAGAATATTTCCATCTTAGAAGCTTCTACTGCACAGTGCTTGTTTAGAAGATATCCCCAGTGCTTAGTGGAAATTTTGACTAGCTAATGATGAAAAGTTTCTATCCCTGAGCTCTGTACGCCTGAGAGCTATAAAGCATTCCTTTTTTTCCCCCTGTCAGACCAGAGAAGCTACATTCTCCACATTTGAAAGACTAGTCTTCCAATTACAGAAACTTTACAAAACAGGGATGTAAGTGTTCAGCAGAGCCAGCTTAAAATTAATCTTTTCCTACTGCATTCTATTATAAAACCAAGTCTGAGTTCTTACAGTAGAAATTATAAAAAAATCTTTTAAGATGATTATAATTTGCAGAAACTGTAGTTTTATTTCTAGATTTCTAAGTGATATTACTGCATTAGCCTTAGGTGGGACCAGAGAATTTGTTTTGTAACTTTTATTGTAGAAATTCCTTAGGAATTGTATCAGTGAAGAATTTTTGTTATGGTTACCCTTTGGTATGCAGAAAATATGTATTATGCAGATTATACATGGTAATACATTTTGTTATTGAATGTTAAGCTTTTATAAAGGTAATATATTGTTAGTGTGTCCAGCAAACCCTCTTAAAAAAGCATGGGTTGATTTCTAAGACTTATGACCATTCCACCTAGTTTTTAAGACCATTCTCCTGGAAATCCTCTTATCTATACCATCTCTCTTTTTTTAAAATAAATTTATGGGGGTGACATTGGTTAATAGTGTCATATAGGTATCAAGTGTACATTTCTATGATACATGATCTGTATATTGCATCATGTGCCCACCACCCAAAATCAAACCATCTTCCTTCACCATATATTTGGTCCCCTTGGGGTGAAATCATATGGTTCTTAGCTTTTTCTGACCTATTTTGCTTAGCATGATATTCTTAAGGTCCATCCATGTTGTCACAAATGGCAGTATTTCATCATTTCTTATGGCTGAGTAGTATTCCATTGTAGATATGTACCATATCTTCTTTATCTAATAATGTATTAAAGGACATTTTGGTTGTCTCCATGTCTTGGCCACCATGAATAATGCAGCAATGAACATAGGGATGCATATATCTTTGCAATAAATGGCTTTGAGTTTTTTGGGTAGATACCCAGGAGAGGGACTGCTGAGTCATATGGTAACTCTACTAATTTTTTGAGAAATTGCCAGGCTGTTTTCCATAGTGGTGTACTCGTCTACATTCTCACCAGCAGTGAATGGGAATTCCTTTTTCTCCACATCCTCTCCATCACCTGTTATTACTTGTCTTGTTGACAACAGTCATTCTAGCAGACATGAGGTGGTATCTCATTGTTGTTTGGATCTGCACTTCTCTAATTGCTAGTGAAGTTGAGCATCTTTTCATATATCTGTTGACCATTTGTATGTCTTCTTGGGAGAAGTGCCTGTTCATGTCCTCTGCCCATTTTTTACTTGGGTTTTTTGTTTGTTTGGTGTTAAGTTGTATGAGCCTTTTCATATTTTGGATATTAACCCCTTGTAGGTTCTGTTATTTGCAAATATCATCTCCCATTCAGTTGGTTGCTTTTCTGTTTTGTTATCAGTTTTTTTTGCTGTGCAGAAGCTTTTTTGTTTGATATAGTCCTGTTCATTTATTTTTGCCTTTACTTCCCTTGTCTTTGGGTTCAAATTCATAAAATGTTCTCTACAACCAAGGTCCATAGGTTTAGTACATATGTTTTCCTCTATGTAAGTCATTGTTTCAGATCTTTAGGTCTTTCATCCATTTTGAATTAATATTTGTACATAGGGACAAACCATAGTCTAGTTTTATTCTTTTGCATGTGGCTTTCCAATTTTCCCAGGAACATTTATTGAAGAGGCTTTCTTTTCTCCATTATGTGATTTGGCTCCTTTGTCAAAAATTACTTGCCCACATACATGTGGTTTTATTTCTGGGCTCTTAATTCTTT